ACTTGCATCAATGATCAATTGTAAAATTCCGAAGGTGGATATTGACTTGCACCAAGGTTAATCTTTTGATTGCTTTCGTAAATTTAATTTTCTTTGTTATTAATTGCGTTATTTACAATTGTTTGCATACAAACCCCTATGCGCAATCATTGTACGAAGTATAAAATATTGAATTACATATTTTTCGTGGGATCGACCCTTACTTCCACAATTACATTAGTTTTAGAGATTAAAGTATTACTTTTGGGTACTTGCGACAGCACACACCAAATTTTGGCACCGTTGCCGGGAGTGGTGCTAATTTATTTTTGTGCTTTTTTAGTTGTTTATTTTATTTTTGAAAAAAAAATCATAATTTTCTAGGTTTTTAAGCAATTTATTATTTTTAGGAATTTTAGCGTAGAATTTTATTTTTTTTCTTACTCTGCCTTCTTTTTAATTTGTTTATGCCCTCAACTCGATCTTCTAATCAAGGTGAATTGTAGTACGATCCGGAATTAGAAAGCTTTGCGCATGTTAAGGAGTGACAATCGGTGGAATTTCACAGTGAACAATTTTGATCTCAATACCCTATTCCCTGGTGATTTTGCATCAAAGGAAGAGGAAGTCATGACTAAGGACAATCGAACTTTGAAGGAGCTTGCAGTCCCTAACTTGAATCAACAACATCTATGCATTACTTTTCCTAATTTAGATACTGCTACTACTTTCGAATTAAAATCTGGCCTAATTCATCTTGTGCCCACTTTTCATGGTCTTGTGGGTGAGGATCCACACAAGCATCTAAAGGAATTCCATATAGTTTGCACAAGTATGAAACCTACGGGAGTCATCGAAGAACAAACCAAATTGAGAGACTTCTCATTCTCTTTGAAAGATTCGGCAAAGGATTAGCTCTATTATCTACCTTCCGGAAGCAATACTACATGAGATGGGATGAGAAGATTATTTTTGGCAAAATACTTCCCAACTTCAAGGGCAGCTAACATCCGAAAGGAAATCTATGGCATAAGGCAGGACAACAGAGAATTATTACATGAATACTGGGAGCGGTTCAAGAAATTGTATGCAAGTTGCCCCCATCACTAAACTAATGAGCAGCTCCTTATTCAATACTTTTATGAAGGCCGTCTACCCACAGATAGGAGTA